AGTATAAAACAGTAACACTCGCCCAGAAAAAGGGCCAGGGCGGCCGGAAGAGAAGAACCTGGGCCATAGCTTAGCCATTTTTAACAGAGGCAAGTACGTGTGTGGTGGTGGTGGTGGGGGGGGTTGTTGTCAAACTGAACTGGATCACTGTCCTTGCTCTGCGGTCTGTCAAACTGAAACGAGTCTAAAAGTGCTTTCAAATCATGTTATTACAGGTGTGAACAATATCACCATTGGATGTAACTGACGGTGCACACATTGCTTACAATGTACATTGAATATACATGGTGTATTACCTGATTTACACTTTTGATGTTGTCAGTACCATATTTTACCAGTATAAATGAAATCTGAGTTTATTTCAGGTTGACCTGTTCCACTGGTGGATTTAAGGTTGTACTGGACCTAGCTTTGCAAACCAGCGTGACAAGAATGTTTCAATGATTAAGATTTGAACAGGACGTTGTTTCATTGAGTCAACTGTGTACAGAAGAAGGAACATTTTCATGAGTCAACACAACCTAACTAGAATGATGCCATCATTTTTAGGACTTGATTCTCAACTTCTGCACTTCATCAAAGCTTCCAATGGATTGAACAGACTGTCAGCTTGCCTTACATGCAGTATTTCCTCACTGTATGCTGCAAAGTCTGTTTACAGCAAAGCACAAATTGTTTGTTGCAGAAATGTTCAGTTTCGTCCCATGAGAGTTCATAACAAACTACTTCATGAAGCTTGTCATTCATCGAAGCAAGCTCAACCAACGTCTTTTGAGAGGGGCATGTTGGACAGTATACCTACATCGGAGTGGATGGATGAAGCAACATTGTATGTTCATTGGCCTTACTGCCAGCGACGCTGTACATACTGTAACTTCAACAAATATATTGACAAGGTCGTGGATCATGCCAAAATGCAACAGTGTCTTGTGCAGGAGGCACGAACATTAATTGATCAAAGTGGGATAAAACGCATCAAGTCAGTCTTCTTTGGGGGAGGAACACCAAGTTTAGCAAAGCCACAAACATTACAGGCTGTCTTGGATACAGTGTCAGGCTTGGTTGATGTATCGTCCAATGCTGAAGTCACTATGGAAGGGAATCCAACTTCTGTGGGTCGTACCAAACTACAAGATTTCAAACTAGCAGGTGTTAAGGGTTGCTATAGTTAATTGTGGTATCTTCATATCACTGTCTCTTATGATCAGTGAAAAGAGGCAAATACATGTATACCCATTGCAGTCCCGTTGATTTTTAAAATTAGTTATACCCATGCCTTACCTGCAACCCATCCTATGAAATACAAATTATTTTCTTGTTTGAAAGTCAGAATTTATGTTTTAGTGTTATCCCACATCTTGTGTTGTTTCCTCACTATACAGCTGAAGCTGACCTGATTTTATTTTACTGTCTGTAAATTTACTCCATGTTAATACCAGCAGATTGTGCATACTTACGATTGCACGTCAACTGAAGTCTCTGGTTTCGGGACTGGAAGAGTGAACGTCAGTAACTTCACTTTTTGTTTCTTTTGCAGGCATTAATCGTGTTTCACTTGGCATACAGGCATTGAATGATAATGATCTGAAGCTTCTTGGCAGAGACCACACCACATCTGAATCCTTGCAATGCATTGAAGAAGCAAGAAGAGTTTTCCCTGGACGTTTATCCCTGGACATCATCTTTGGGCGGCCAGGACAGACACTGTCCTCATGGGAGCAAGAACTGCAACAGTTGTTAACAATCTGTGACAATCATTTGTCTTTGTATCAGCTAACACTTGAAAGAGGCACAACATTATTTGAAATGCACGCAAGGGGTCAGGTACGGTTGCCTTCTCATGATGATGTTGCCGATATGTACACATTGGCGGTTGATATGATGGAAGAGGAGAGACTGAAGAGATATGAGGTTTCAAACTTTGCTAAGGAGGGATACGAGTGCATACACAACCAGTCATACTGGGCGGGTGGGCAGTATATTGGAATAGGTCCTGGAGCTCATGGACGATTTATACCACAAAACTGTGAAAGTGTTAATGAATGTAAAAGTTACAGCAGGGACAGTTTTAAAACGTGTATCAAGCCAAACCATGAGTACACCACAAGTAGATCTGAAATCAAACAAGGTAGCAATTCAATGAGATATCGTGAGGCCAGAATTCAGACATTGGAGCCTAGGTCTTGGATGTATGAGGTTCTCAAATATGGACATGGAACTAGGAAGAGAGTCAGCCAATCACAGCTTGATATCCTACAAGAGCTGCTCTTGGTAGGAATGAGAACAAACCTAGGTGTAACCTGCAAACGATGGGCAGAGTTATCACAAGGAGGGTATATGAGTGATGTATTCTGTGATGATAATGTACAGAGACTTGTCCAAGCTGGACTTCTTGTCAAAGATAGAATAGGTTTGAGAGCCACAGCAAACGGTATGGCACTGCTTGACTGTATAATTCCACATCTGATTGTCACACTGCAAGACTGGTACAGGGAAAATTGTGATTCTGATTAATTAGTTATGGGAGAAATAACAATGGGTAACTGTAGTTGAGGTTTTGCCAAATTATCAGGCCCAACTTGGCCAGTTTTCCCATGTTGAATGTAATCTGTATGGCTTTTGGAAACATTGCCTACTCTTTTGAAGGGGTGGCTTTCCCAATTCATTTTTTCTGGTCTTTTTTCCAAAAAGTTTACTTTATGTATTGGTCTACTTTTCTTACCTCACCTCCACCCTTGTCCACATTTTCCTTTAAAATGTTTCGAGTCTTTTGAGTTTGGGACTGAATCAATACTTGCACATTATGCTTGTTCATGGGGATGCATGCAATCTGATCGGCATGGGGACCATTTATCCTAATCCATTTTTTGAGTTACAACACTATTTTCTTAAGATTGAAATGTCAATCACATTTTAATGTAATTCTCAAACAAATTAAAAAAATAAAAAAATAACATTTTAAAAAGTTTTATACAAACCAACTGTTCAAAAGTATGGTATGTAAGATTTTATTTCACTTGCATCCAATAATGAATGATGTTATGCAAGAAGCTAATCATTTAGATGTTAAAACCATACAGTAATTCAAGTCGATATTTCAGTTCGTGAGAATTATAGAATAAAATGATGGGAGAAATATTCTTTTCAGTTGATCTAGAGCTTTCTCTTTGTCAGAGTCATCCCTTGCTTAGGTACTCACTTCCAGGTTTGTTACACAAACAATTTCTGGCATGGAAACTTTTTACATTCCTGGCCTGCCGAATAACCGTTCTCACTGCTACTCCACTCTCCTTACTTTTCCCTGCATCACATGGCTTCCAACAGTTTTCATCTGTTTGCAGTGATACAGCAAGTAACAGACTACATTTCCTTGGAATTAAAGACGGTAGAAGTGGGATCAAACTTACAAAATGAGTTAAACACCATCATCAATAATTACTAGCAGTGCCTTATCACATTTTCGACATCTGAACACTTGTCCCTTGCTGTATCACTTGCCCTCCTACGTGCGCCGTCTAGTGATAGTACTTATTTAGTTTTCATCATTTAATGTCACCACCAAGCTGGCTATTGTTGCAAGTCACCTTCAACTTGCAGTGCAGATGCCAGTAACTCTTGATCACTGAGTTCACCCACATTATGGCTGGTTGTGTTACAGCTAGGGTCTTTTTGAGATTCCCTTTCTTCCACTGCAGTAACGGCAGCTAAGAGTTCATCATCGTCAACATCATCTCCGAAGGATGGAATGAGCTGAGGAGGGAGAGCAGTATCAGGTGACTTGTAACCAGCAGCTTTACAGTCAGGATCATGACACTTCTGGTAGTACACACCACGACGAAGATCAACCAGAATCCTGAATAGAATATCCAACATTCATTTGATCATTTTTGTTTTTGAAATAATTTTTCTTTCCTTCTAAATCACCATAGCCCCTACTAATTACTTTGCTCAGTCAAACAATTTATATTTTGTCCCTCACTTCTTCATGCGAAGACTGATTCATATGTACGCTGCTACGGATAGAATTGTATAGAAATTTTGATGGATAATTACACTGTTAGACTCACATGATGTTGTTGCTCTTATGTTGGCGGTGTATGTTACCACACCATCTGTTCTTGATAATATCATAGACAAGCAACTGTCCTTGAGTGAAGTAAACCCAGCGTCGAATCACTCCTTGGATACCTCCATTAGTGATTACTGTACAGATGAATGCATCTATGTTAGGGTAGGGAGAATGATCAAATCCTTCAAGCAATTCACCGGGTTCACCTAAATAAAGAGATACAGATACACAGTGTCAACACAGCCATCTGGGGTGACGGTACACTATACCAGAAGTGAACTACAAGGAGCGAGTTAACATTATTTGTATGTGTTACTTCGCACTGTGCACATACATGGAGACTACCTTGTGTTTTTATGGCATCTTTCCGATGTGAATGGCTGACGTTCCTTGCCTTCTGGTCGTCATTACGTTCCATCGTTAAGACGCGTGTACCTGGGCAATAACTGCAAGAGGAGAAAACATGAGCTGATTAGAGGGGAAACATTACACTGCAAAACAAACATCTGCATAACTAGAATCTGATAATACAGGCAACACGGAGTTCCGAAAATTGGAAATTCCAAACATCCAGAGAAACATGTAATGTCTTGAATCAAATGTTCAGAAACCGTACATGCTTCTGATGTCAAGCCAACTTGTACACAGAGTGTGTAAGTCAGCATGTAGCTACACTAAAATAGCCGACCTTGCATACGAATATTAAGTTCTTAAACGACCCACATGTATGATGTGCCTATGCATGCGCTGATTGAATACCAAAATGGCTCTTTAAACAATCTGGATCACGACTTCATGGACCTTCTTACCTGACGTTAGTAATCAGTGAATCCAGAAAGAACTGTCGTTCCATGGTTGCCTCGCACATGGCCTGATTAGTACTGGACTTTCTGTTGATCCGAGGCTTGTATTTATTATCCTTGGCCATAAGTAATGGATTTGCCTTTCCCAATTTGATGCACTTGTATAGACGGAAATTCCTATTACGAGTGTACACTCCTGTTGTACCAACAAACAGAGGCATTAATCATATAAAGAGATTAATTTGCAGTGACTGCTCGCAGCCAAATTTTGAGTGAAAAGGGGATTATCTCCCTAAGTTTGACACTTTACAACAATTACTTCAGACGTAATGAAGCATTAGATTTGAATACTTCACTGGGAGCAACTGGCTAAATTCATTCTTGAAGAGCATATTCTGAGTGTACCTTGATCAACAAACAAAACTGACAGGCCATCTTTATTCTCAATGAATAGTTTTTGGAGCAGTGGAGTGTTGGGCCGACTTTCTGGATCTGGTACCCTGTATCTGCCACTCCCAGTCTTCTCTCCTTTTTGCTTCTGCCTCTTTGCACCAGGCTCTCCATCGCTTTCTGTTGGACTTTCTGTTTGGCAAATCTTCCGAATTTTCTCACACAAATAATGCACAAAATTACCTGCAAACCATTTTAAAAAATATCCTACCATTACTAATGGCTACTATGCTAAATGACTAAGAGTCTAGCAACAACAAAAAGGAGTAAGTTGTCGTTAAAAAATGCACACCATGTTATTTTTTTAATGGCAAAAAGGGTTATGCCCCTTGTATTTCCATTACAAATGACATCAACCAATAATTTTAATTGCTCAGGCACTCTAATATCAAGGTAAAAAATTATGAGCCCAATTTTACCTGCTTGTACATTATCCTTGAAAACCGCCTGTGGTAGGCTGAAGATGAGATGTCGACTGAATTTACTTGGTGTTGTGGCATCAAGATTGATCACATGATCAATAACGCACTGTATCTGGTATATCTCCATAATCTCAGCACACACAAACTAAACAGGCAAAAGAAGAGGCCAAGTATTTTCATGAATGTAAATGAGGTTAGAAATTCTTTCTACCAGATAATCAGAGGTACAAATCACTTTAGGAAGTGCTTGTTTAATTTTAGTTTCACTTTTCTGCAAATTATTTTGGACTTACCTGAATGAAAGTGTTCACCATTTCAGCACCACAGCATTCTTTGTTCAGGAACCGACTGAATTCCAAGTCGAAATAGAGTTTGCAAGCTGAGCCTTCGGGGATCACCTCATAAAATGTTGGATACTTTCCACGAGCAGCCAGGTGGTATATAGTATGCCATAGCTGTAAATAATTTGTGATGATGTACTTTCGCTGTCCCTTAGTTGCTGTATCAGCTGTAACATTCTCAGCTTCAAAGGCAAAAACATGGACATCCTGAAATCAATAAAGGAAAAACTTTGTGGCAGTGGGTGGGTACATACATTGTACATAAAGCATACATATCCTGCTGTCCAAATAATTCAAATACTGCATTAAATATCTGCATTTCCATATACTTACACTACATTGGCTAGACAGAAGTATCTGAAGTATCCTGAATTTTACATCTAGCTGTCTTTCTATTGGAAAAGTTTCATATAATTTGATGCAATGTTTATAGGAAAGATGTCAGTCAATACCTGTCTTGATATGCTGAATCGTCCCATGATAGACAAAAATTTATGCATAAATTATCTGAAACAAAACCAGACTAATATTTATGATAAAAGAGGCAATAAACAACTGAATTAATAACAAAATACTTGATTATTGTGGCCTTATGAATATTTTAAGTTGGTTATTGACAGTTACCTCTGGGTGTGCAGCGGCAATTTCAAATGCGTGTTTCTGTCGATATACTATGTGCCAAAATGGGGATGGATCTATCAGACTAAAAAGAAAAGTAATTTAAGCTAAACTCAAACATGTATCCACATTAGCAATAACGTGATAAGTAATACAAGTCAGAAACTGGACAGCGACCTGCTAATAAATAGCGCTGTGTTTATATTTCCTCTTTACCTCAAGTGTTCAAACATTTTGATGATCATTATCAGTTTAGGGGCATGAAGATATAATCCCAATTTCATCCTTATCATATCAAGAGAACAAATACCATTGCGAGTAATCTGATGCAATTTTATTTTTGAATTTGTGGGGATTAAAACTACATGTAATATTAGAAAGATATACATACTGTGGCCTGTACACAGGAATAAGAGGATAGGTCTTGTACCATGCTTCTGTAGCTTGTAACTTCTTCAGTTTGTCCTCCCATTGTCTCTCCTTGCTATTATAAATCCCCAAAAAAGAGAGAACAAAATATACTTACTTGGTCACAGGGGAAATGCCTTGAACAGATGACCTGGTATAGCCTTGGACAATCTTTGTTAAGCAGAAAACAAATTAACACATTAAAGACAAGCGTGTGGTGCAGAGGGACCCTCAGCATCCTTGCCTCAGTCCTAAATTCTTAACAACTGAACATGCTACATACAGCCGCAAACAATGGAGTTTCTCATCCAGAATTTTTTTTCAAAACGGAGGAGGCAGCCACTTTTTCAATTTTGCTTCATTGTTTTTTCATATCTCTGTCTTATTGATGTTTTTCGCTTCTTCTGAGCTACATCAAGGGCGACAAAAGAATCTTTGAATGTTGGTGGTTAGCAGTCTCTGGGGAAAGAGTTCTATATGCCATGTACACAGATGAGGCTTGACACCTGTGCACAAACCCTATGAGACTGTGTTTTCTAAGTAAATAACTTTCCCTCCATAGTATTTTCCCTCCTAAATTGAACTTTTCTGGACATGTTTTGCTTTCTAACGGCTAATAAGTCACTGTAGGGAATAATTAATGGCGTCCCTATATGGAACTCCAGGTAAATATTTATTATTTGAATTATAGTTAACTGCTGGATTTGATTGTTAACATGTCTTATTACTCTCAGATTGCTAATCCGTCACTGCAGGGAAAACAGTGGCTGTAAAATCAGCTAATTGACGCCAATTTGACTGCCCATTTAAATTTTACGATGTCATAATCTACACGCACATGCAGCACTGCCAGCCATGCCAGCAAAGCCAAGGAAAGGCATAAATTAAAAGCGTACACGTGACGGGCGAATGGTGTGACCGTACCATATGACCACGGACATGACAGAGTTTGTTTCATTACCGTTTTTTCTGATCCATTAAAGCCATGCTTGCAATCTCAGAAGTGCCCACGTTAGCCAATGCAACTACTATACACAGAGACAACACGGGAAAACATCGTCAATTACGTGTATTTGCCAAATGCCAGGTTGTATTTCACTTTCTAATGTGTAATTTAGAGCAAGGACAGTGACTAGAAGTTAACGTCTCCAGCGCGCTCACGTGTGGTACGGTATGGGATGTATCCGTCAGTCGTCCCGTAGTCAGGGTCCCTGGCTATTTGACAGTAAGTAGATACCACGGGAAGTCAGGGGGAATTTTCTGGAAGACATGGCCGTGTCCAAAACGGGCTTCCAGAGCTATGGCTAGGTCTAATGTCTATGCGTCTAAACGCATTTCCAATGGAGCGAAGACCTAGACCTAGCTCTAGACAAGAGATTCGGATGCACCCAAAGTTCGAGCATGCCCAACTAGATAGGCATACCCGACTTCAGTTCGTCGACACCACAACTTTTAAGGGATTTTTACCTGTTTTTATGTCATGGTTGGGTGACAAAATTGCCGTTTCGTGTGTAGGGCTTGTAAGGCTTACATCTGCTCACTGTATTCCACTAACTTTGCCCTAGTGGTATAAATCTATGCCACCCTGATTTTTTTTTGGGGGGGGAGGGATAGGGAAAGGTGTGTGTACGTGTGCGTGGGATCCGGGAGGGGGGGGATATACGCAGGGAGCGATGTTCATGACAAAGATGTACATCTGTAATGTGTGTCAAATTCATGCAGAATCTTACATCAGAATGGAATATTTATGGCTTTATAAAGTTGCCTTCCCTTTGTAGTGGTATATTACAACTATTTTAGTCGTTGGCAAGTCCAAAGAATTATTCACAATCCGCTTTAATTATTTTGCTCATTACAAAAAAGTGTGTGAGAGTGTGTGTGTGTGGGGGGAGGGTGATTCAATAGCTCTGCTTTCTCCCTTCCTCACATAGGACCTGACCGTTTTCCCAGAATGCCTTGGCAAGTACACTGCAGCGTTCTATTACCCTCAATTCGAGGCTTCCCTTCGTGTAACACTGGTGTATTCAGGGAAGCTAGTCGAACGCACCTATAATGAGACTTTTCTTTAAGTTACCATTATGTTACTTTTTGGTTAGTTTTTCGACTAAATAAGGAAGACGGGTGCTGGCCGGATACGGAACTCTTTTTCAAAGTATCTCTACCCTAAAATTAAGTATCCCCCTTGGATAACGTATCGTTGAACTGAAGGCATATTTTCCTCACATAATCACAGTTATGATCTGAACATAGGCCGTGTCCGAAATAGGCTTCCAGAGCTACGGCTATATAATGCACTTCCGCGTATATTCAAAGGAGTGAAGACCTAAACCTAGCTCTCAACCAAAATATCAAATCTGATCAATAAACCTCTATAGCTCTATTGTTATTGATCCTCTCAACCAAACGCGATAACAACATTGACAAAAATACATACAGTCAGTGCTATTAATTTATCTCATTGCCGTGCTTTTGGTAACTCGGTACCTTCGTCAGGGCAAGCAGATTTAGGGCCGTTTTCCAATACTCGACTTGGGCTCCGTCTCAGGCTTCAACTGTTTTTACTTCTTGACTTTGAGGTTATAAGCGCAATAGTAAGTCTGATAGTGCCACAAAACACCAAGTAAGGTGCAAAAGAACCAAACATTACAGTACTTCAATTTAAGATTAACCCCTTTTGGCCCCCAATCGAGTATTGGTTTCCTACAAGAAGCCTCCGACGGAGACGAAGTTGAGTATTGGAAAACGGCCCAGCTCCCAACTTGCTTGCCCTGACATAGGTAAGCCCTACCCAGTTACAGAAAGCTCGGCAATGAGATTAAGAGCACTGACTGTAATTTTTTTGGCAATACACTATTCTGATCACGGTGCTACGCAGCCCTTTCATATTTCCCAGACGCGATAACTACAGTGGCATCCATTGATCACCACAATAATGAAGATCAATAGTGGCATCGCACTCAAACGCACATTCTTCAGCTTGACGCGCGCGTGCGTTTGACAAATAACGACACCCTATTGGTCGAAGAGGCATGTAACGCGTGCCTACCACAGGCTGTCCACGAGCGTTGTGCATGGTTTCTCATTCTGGTTGTCGAATTACACTAAACTCTACAACACCTTGCACTCTGTCACATAGTAACAAAGTAGGCCAGAATCTGGCGGCTCACTCAAATTGTAACACTTACACAGCAGTCTGGAAGTTGAGATAGACGGTCCCGGCCCCCGCAATGTATAGGAGGATACTGCTTAAATTTGGAGTTGGTTCATGGTAGAATCCGCTTCATACGCGAGGAAACTTGATCACTCCATCGAAAGAGTAACAATGTGGATATGCATGAGGCACCAGTGTAGAGGTAGCTCAGCTTCATCAGCAAAGCTTGACACCGTAACGGTGAGCCTGCACAGGTTTTAGGTAAGTGTGGTTGACATGAAACTTGGGGGGAACAACATCCAAAGTGCGGAAAGAGGGGGAAGAGTCAAAAGGTTTAATTTTCAAATAAAACTTGAAATATTTTTTACTTCTAAATTAGCACGAGAGAATGATTTGATATTTTGTGGTATAGCTTTTGATTTAATCTGTAGCTTGCAAGTCATATTTTGTATAGAACTCTACGAATCTGAATTAAAGTGCACTGTAAGCGCGCACTATTCAAGCATGCGCAGCGCGCATTGAGAGCCAAAAACGAAACAGTGCAAACAAAATAATTTTTTTTGGACAAAATAAAAATGAATCAGTTCAGTAGTACCGGCAAATTTTGGTACATGAAATTTGCAACTTTCTCAGTACATTGATCATGGTATTTGATGACTGAAGAGTAGACCTTGTCACTTATTATCAATGGGTCGTATGAATAAAAACTAGCAACTGCTATGAAGTTCAAGCAAACAGCAAAAGCATTTACTGAGAAGTAAAAGCATTAAGAATAAGCAAGAATTGCTTGAACTTGTATGAATAAAATGTAAAATGTTTGTTTTACTATTCAGCACTTGCTTGTACAAATAGTAGCAAATGCTTTATGCTTGTGGCTGACTTCACAGCCGAACGGTTTTGTACAATGGGGCTTCCATTGTCTGCACGTACAGACGCACACAGTGCAGCACGGTGCTGTATCTTGAGACCTCAGCATGGCAGATAAGCACGATGGCAGTAATTTCGATCTCAAAAACCTTGATGAAGAAAAGTGCTCTGCCGGTATCTGGTTTCTTGAGATTCCCTCCTAAAGGCATACAGCTTTTCCTTTTGAATGACATTCATGAACGCTGCAATTTTGAACATTAGTAAATTAATGCTCCTCGTTTTCAAGCTTGCCCTGACCCAGTCTTGAAAAATGTCAAGTAAATGCTCTAATTCTGTAGAACTCACTCATTTTTATTCATACAAAATGAAACAACTGCTTATTGTCAAGCACAAGCTTAAAGAGTAAAAAGTAAATTCTGTTACTTTTTAGCAACTGCACTAAAGTAAAAAGCGTTTGCTTCATTATTATTCATACAAACAAGAGTAAATGCTTCAAAATTGGTAGTAAAATCAAATGCTACTTTTTATTCATACGACCCAATATTATGCACACGTGTGTATAAATGGTAAAATGGGTATGGCGGAAAAAGTGTAAGTGGCCACCTATTTGAAATCTGTACAGGGGTGTAAACTTAGCGGTCATGTTTTTCTCAGTTTCTCTGCCCCCCCCCCCTTTTTCTTAAAAAAACCCTATACCGTCACAGCTATGACTTTCAGTAGTGTTTCCTAGGCCTATGCAACATAATGAATTTAAAAGATTGCTTTGTCCCAAGTATAGCTTGGGCTCAAAAGTCGATAGATTTGTAAGGAAATGAATATACTGAATTACAACTATGTCTGTTGTGTCATCAAGCTTAAAGGTAAAATTGCAGTAGTAATAGACTTCAGTTCAGTCTTTACATTTCATATGTTAAAGAAAAGTATCGTTGGCCTTTTCCCTAAATACAGTTATTCTGGTTAGGAAATGACACAGCAGCAAAATATTCAACGGCAGCAATACCAGCCAAAGGCACTTCAGAAGAAGGGCGGACAAAATAACACTCCGCTTTCTGTCGGTAAATCAGAGTTAATCCAAAGCGGTTTTGCCCAAACCAAACAGCGCCCTCTTTATTGTGTCTGTCATAATAATATTGTGCGTGCGGTGCTGCAGGCGAATGTGAAAGCGAAACAATTTTGACGTCACAAAAGATTTGCATCAAAATTTCGCTCAAGTTGAAATGCTTTCAACTTTTGGCGAAGTAGCAGGGTGAATGTTTGATTTGCCGTCATATATTCGGGTTAATTCGCTTTCGAGCCAAAGGCCGGTTCGTACTTCATGCGAATGCGAAAACAAAGGCGAAGAAGATGGCAAGTGCTTATCATCTTACCCTATACGTTCTATTCGAGTGGTCGTAGCTGGTAAGTCTTCAAGCTTGAAATTAAACCTATCATTGTAGGTGTTCCACGGGGGAGCATTTAAGGGTCCACCTTCTTTCTTATCTAGACCAATGACACTACTGGTTCCATCAGACACAATGAAGTGCCCATCTCTGCTGATGAAATCACCTTAGCAACTTGTAATGTGAGGATGACTTCAGAGGCGAGCTCGCAGCACAACTAAACCACTGATCTGAACCCCTGTTTTATCGGCATATAGCATGAAAGGTGTACATGGTTTAATGCCTGTTAATTCTCAAAAGTCTTCTTCTTAGGTGTGTGGTTAATTCTAACAACCACCATCAATAACTTTTTCGTCTGAAGTAATGCATCCCTATTCCCTATAGCAACCCCTTTCCTCCTTGCATTAAAGGGACCCAGAATCTATTGGATTCTTATTGGAGTTTCCTACTATGCAGTCGCTGTCAACATCTGAAATAGGCTTACCCTAATGCCATAGAGCAGCCATCGGAGAGTGGATCAGAGTTTCTTGAGACTGTCAGTGGCGTCAATTTGTACCAGGAACTGTGGGATGGGAGTTGGGGGTGGGGAGGACTTGCTCAACCATTGAAATTTAAACAGCGCGGGGGTTGGGGTGTTACCGACACCATTTGACACTAGGGGGCGATGTTCATGGTACAGAGGTACATCTGTAACATGTATTACACACCTGCAGAACTTTACATCAAACGGCGTGTTTATGACCTTTTAAAATATTGTTCTCCCTATTTGAGCACTATTGATCATGAAC